AGACAACCCTGGCACTCGGTCTGGAAAGACTAACTTGAAAGACTACGGTCAGAATGCTCAAGAAGTTGAGGAACAGCCCCAAGACGCTGGGGGTTCTGTCCCCAAAAAGCCAGTTGATAAGGGAAAACAGAAAGAACTCCGGTTCAACAGGAATCTCCACCAGGAACTCGGGGAGTCGAGTAATCCACTCCAATTCAATGTCATGGCACAGTTGGCTAACATACCAGCCAGAATTACGCTATATGAGCTTCTAAGGTTGTCCAAAACCACCAAGGAAGCTCTCATTGAGGCATTGAAGAATACAGAGAGCTTCATCACCCAAGTCACTCCGATCACCGAAGCTTCTGAAGATCAAACTTGTCGGCAATGTCTGCAAGCGGCAAGAAGTTTACCCTGCATATCATTTACTCAAGAAGACATGCAGGTCAAACACAAACACGACAGGCCGTTGTACTACATGGGGTATATCGGATCTTCCTGTAGGCATCAAAAATTGCCTATAGTCCTCCACAACCGGTTCAGTGTTAACGAGCGACGATGAACGTCACCATCCAACCCACATGAGCCTAATCGACGTCGACAAACGACTGAAGTAAATCGACGAGTTACATGAGCGGATAGGACTTCGGAATCACGAAGACCCGGACCAATCGGGAAGCCCGGCACTGTTCACAAAAAGGACAACGCCCTTCATGCCTCGACCACTCTACAGATAATCCAATCACCAGAGCGGGTCAAACTCTTCGTCGCGCATCCAACGCACCCGGAATCACTCAAATCCGAATCCGGACGAAGAATATACAGGGGAACCAACAAAACACCTAAACGGAGTCTCGGCAAGCTCGAAACACCCGAGGGGTGTCTTGGCAAAACCAAGACACCCCAGGGGTGTCTCGGCCAAGCCGAGACACCCCCCCAAGGGGTGTCTTGGCCGCCAAGACACCCCAAGGGGGTGTCCTCACCTTTTACCACCCCCCCCCTCTTGGTTTCCTATAAATAGGCCCCTTAGGCCTTCATTTCAAGGGGCTCCTGATTTTGTTCTTGATTTCTTTTGGTGGCCTTGGAGGATTTCTTGGAGAGAGCCTAGGCGAAGCCCTGCCGGAGTGAGGAGTGCCCGAGCCTTCTGCAGCAAAAAGGGTCTTCTTCTTTCCCCCTTTTCTTTTCCTTAGTATTGCCCTTTAGCGGTGATATTAAGTAGAGCTGGTGTCTCGCTTTAGCCGAGATATAAGCTTCGTAACTTCTAGATCCCACGCGGGTCTATTAAGTAGAGCTGGTGTCTCGCTTTAGCCGAGATATAAGCTTCGTAACTTCTAGATCCCACGCGGGTTGACGAAGTTCAGAGTTTCTAAATCCCCTTGCGGATAGACGATACTCTGTCCGATTTTCTCGGAACGGATCTGACCTACCGGTGGTCCACGGATATTGACGTCCCCGTCACA